AACAGGGACAGGAGGAGAGGGAACGGCCTCCAGCTGTGCCAGGGGAGGGGCAGGTGGGACATCAGCAGGAATTTCTGCCTGGAAAGGGTGGTCAGACCCTGGCAGGGGCTGCCCAGGGAGGTTTGGAGTGCCCAGCCCTGGAGGTGTCCCAGGCAGGCCTGGCCGTGGCACTCAGTGCTCTGGGCTGGGGGACAGGGTGGGCAGCAGGCACAGGGGGGACTCGATTGTGGGGGTCTTTTCACCCCAATTGACTCTGGGGAGGCAAGGGCAAAGGGGAAGGAGCCCCCACCCCACCTCAGGCCCCCAGCACAGCTGTGTCACTGCGGCAACTGGGATTTACTAGGATTGGACTCTGGGCCCTACAGAATTACCATGGAGTCCTGGATCATAGCCACAGCCCTGGAGAGGGCACTGGGCCATACTGGAAGGTCTGGACTCTATTGGGAGCATAGTGGAAGAAACGATTGCAAAAATGGGGGAAAATGCATGAAAAAAACAAGGGAAGGGGGGGAAAATGGGGCACAAAGGGGTAAGAAGCGGGAAGAAAACCAAGGAAATTGGGGAAAAGGCAGAGTAATGTGGTGAATTGGGGTAGAAAACAGCAGTGTGCTGCCCTGGCTCGCCCACCGCCATCCCAGTATGGATCCATATAGCACTAGTGCTCCCAGTAAAATTCCAGTCTGAGCCACAGTTTCTCCAGTAGGTCAGTATGGCTCCTACACTCCCACTGTGGAGCCAGCACTCCCAGCACAACACCAGCACGACCTACATTTATACCAAATTCCTGATATGATCCCCAGTGCTCCCTGTACAGAGCCAACCTCGGGCTGCGGTTCTCCCAGTATGATCCCAGTATGATCCCAGTATGGGCCACAAGGCCTCAAGAACACTTCCAGAGTTTCCAGTATGTCCCCAGACATGGGTCCTGGGACTCCAGGTACAGCTCCAGTGTACTCCCAGTACGGACACAAGGTTCCCAGGGCCCTCCAGCACAGACTTCAGAGCTGCCCCAGTGCCATCATGGTGCTCCCAGCACTGCCAGTACAGCCCCACAAACCCTTTTTGCTTTGCCCCATCCCAGCACCTCCTTGGGCACCTCAAACCCTCTGAATTCCCCCCAAAAACAACATCACCATCCTGCCATTGCCTTTATTGCTGGGTGGGCGTGGGGGGGTCACAGGATCAGGCCCCCCCCAGTGAACTCCATTCGCTGCCAAGAGAAGGGAGAGAGGAAAGGGGTGAGTGAGGGGACCCCTGGGGGGCCCAGGACCTCCTTCCCGGGGGGATCCCAGGACCCCTGCTGTCCCATAGGGACCCCCAGCCCCCCACCCCGGGGGACTCGTGCCCACCTGCGGGGGGGTGACGAAAGCCAGCCAGTCCGAGGGGCGGGTGGGCAGCAGCCCCATGGCCTGGCACTTATAGAGGGCCAGTGCCAGCCCCAGCCCGTTGCCCACCAGGAACACCAGCCCCTGCAGCGCCCGCCGGCTCGAGCTCTCCAGGGCCTTCAGGGCTGGGAGGACAGAGGGGGTCAGGGGCTGGTGACCTGGCATGGGGGTTATCGGGGGCTGTGAGGGGTGGGCAGCTGCTGGGGGGGTGGGTGGGACTGACATGGGGGTGACTGTGGGGGGGCCATGGGGACACCCAGGAGGCAGGGGGGCTGTAGGAGACACCTTGGGGGCGGGGGAGGACATCCAAGAGGCTGTGGGTGTCTGTGTGGACAGCCAGGGACAGACCTATGGGGGACACCTGGGGGGCTCTGGGGTTTGGGGACACCTGTGACTGTCAGTGTGAACCCTCAGGGGTCCGTGGTGTCTGTGTGGACTCCCAGGGATGTCTGTGCGGTGGTTCTGGGAAACCCCAGGGGCCAGAGGTGTCTGTGTGTGCCCCCCATGGTGTCCACGGGTGTCCATGGATGGCTGTGTGTCTGTGGGTGTCCGTGTGTCCTCCCAGGGCCCGTGGCCCCCCCATGGGGGCTGTACTCACTGGCAGACAGGGACATGAGGGCCTGGAGCGGGCGCCAGCCCATCATGCAGACCATCATGGCCGGGAAGATGGAGATGGTGTTCCCAGCCATGTACATGATGAACAGGTTCATGGGGATCTGCTTCAGCGGCGCCAGCGCCACGTCCCAGCAGCGCTGCAACGACACGGGGAGGACCCACGGTGACACCCCCTCGGGGTGCAGGGGGACACGGGGGACCAACCCCATGAGGTGTGGGGAGACCCAGGGCAGGGACCATCCCCCAGGGGGGACATGAGATTTGGGGCACCGAGAGAACCATCCCCACGGAGGGCCGGAGTGTGGGGGACACAGAGACCCCCTCCCACGGGGGAGCCGAGATAGAGGGGGAGCTGAGCCAGGGACCATCCCCCCCTGGGAAATCCGGGGCGGGGGGGACCAGGATGAGGGAGGGACCCGGCCAGAGACCACCCCCATGGGTCAGGGAGCATCCCCCGTGAGGGCCCCGGGGGGTGGGGACACAGAGGGGCCACCCCCTGGGGAGGGCGGGATTAGGGCCCCCCAGAGCTGGGCTGCCCCCAAAGAGGTCCCGAGGCCCCCCCGTCCCACCTTCTCCATGAGGATCTTGTCGCTCTCGTGGACGCCGCCCTCCCCCAGCTGCCGGTCGGCGAACCCGAGCGGGCCGCGGCCCTCGGCGGCGCCGCGGGGCCTGCGGGCACAGGCCGGGCTGAGCGGGGGTGCCGGCCCTCCGGCCTACCCTGAGCCCTCCCCGGCACCCCGGCCTCCGCCGAGCCCCCCGTCCCTCACCGGCCCCCGGCCTACCCTGAGCCCTCCCCGGCCCCCCCGGCCTACCCGGAGCCCTCCCCGGCCCCCCCGGCCTCCACCGCGCCCCCCGTCCTTCACCGCCCCCCCTCCCCGACCCTCACCGGCCCCCCGTCCTTCACCGGCACCCCGGCTTCCCCCGAGCCCCGCGCTGTGTCCCCCGTCCCTCACCGACCCCCCGCGCCCCCCGGTCCCTCACCGGCCGCCCGGGGCCGCCCCCAGGTCCAGGG